CAACCATTCCTAAGCACCTAACTTTGAATACTTTGAATACTGGAAAGTTCAACAAGATTGCAGAATGGATGAATTAATTAAATTACTTCTTTTATTCTGAACAGTAGCTTGCAATCAACAGCAACTCTTAAAATTGAGAAGCATTGATAATTTAATGTCTCTTGTTTTATTGTATATGCTCTACTGTATAAATAGAGACAGAATAGCCTCCTACACAAAGAGCTGTGGTTGTTCCTGTCTCCTATTAGCTTTTCATCAGGATACATGTAAAGATAGTAGTAGTAGTAGCAGCAATAATAGCAGAAAAAATTTAATCATAATAGTGGCTGACATTCTTTGAATGCATATTGTACACCAGCCACTGTTCTAAAAGACTTACATGCATTAACTCATTTAATCCTCACAACATTACCAATTAAGTATAACTGTTATCATCATCAAATATATTTTCCCAAACTTTTATCCATCATTTTGTACCAGCCCTCTGAACACAGCACTAAGCAGCTATTATTCCAGATTAGATTATGAAAGACGCAAGGATATACTTAAGTAGTCACACGCTCAAAGTGACCACAAGACAAGGATACTTGGAAGGCTGAAAGCTAGAAAGACAGATGCCTACAACATCTTGTATTACAAAAATGGAGGGTTTTTGTACAATACGAAGCACATATTAGATGCTCTATAAATGCTAGCTCACTTCCTTTTTTTCCCTTCCTTTGCTCCTTCCTTCCTTCCTGACTTCCTAACAGAACTTACTTTTAGGCATCTCAGATAAATTTTGTGTGTTTATTTGTCTCCCCAACTAAAATGAAAATTAAACAAAGGCAGTGGCCACAACTGTCATGTTGATAGCTCTCTCTCTCTCAAGTTTATAGAGCTGCTGAACACCTAACAGGTACTCAAATACTTAGATGAATGAGTGAATGAAAGAGAGAAGCAAGGGAGATAAGGAGAAAGAGAGGAAAGACTGCTTGATGGGCTTGCTGGCACCTGGATTTAAACAGACACTCATGCCCTCTACACCACACAGCAATGTGACAGTCCCCTAGAGAAACTGAATTACCCAAAGACATGACACTGCCTATAGACTCACACAATCTCAGGACTGAAAAGGCCTTGTGCTTGCACTTCCCTGCCACCTTGTTGCATCCCTTTTGCCCAACTTTCTCCCATGGGACCCCTGTGGTTGGATGAAAGTCAAGCTATAAAAGCAAAGCACAGATAACAAGCTTGCATACAAAGTTAACTTACAATCCTTTTCATGATTATTCCACTGCTCTCTGAAACCCCTCTTAACTGAGCACACAGCACCCCAGCATGACTACTAAGAGTTTTCCTCATCTCTTAAGTTTCCACTCTGAACTAGTCCAATCAGCTGACCATCAGCCACTACAAGTGGTGGCAAAATTTAGCACTAAAGGCTGGATTATGAACACAACTGGGGAGTCAGAAATTCCTTGGCACCACTGTAACTTTCTCCTTAATTTATATTCACATGCCCAGGAGCCTGACCAAAAAGTTAATGCAAATGTAAATTCTCAACCACGCAAGCCCAGTCACAGCTAACGTGTGCACAAACACAAAAATCCACCCCATTTCCTTCTGGCCATCTCCTACCCTTGACCTTGACAGATACTAACCCCTTAGAAAATCTCTAACTAGCAACACCTGCCAATGGTATTTAACTTCTCCAAGAAACATAAACCCAAAGAAGCAAAATATACTTATCCCACACTGCAAATACACTTTTTAAAAGCTTTTTAACCCAAAAAACTCAAAATTTAAAAAGCAAGTAAATAGGGACTACAGTCTAGTTAGATGGAAGCAATTTTCCTATCAAATACTCTTCCAAAGCTCTATGTTAAATTGCTCATTCAACCATTTCTGTCACATCCAGTTAAGTTTGAATCACATTTTTATTTATACTTACCTCTGCCACTCGGTGGGTGGAACTAAACCGAGGTGGAAAGCCAGCCAAAACACAGTGTTGGTGGGTGGCATTGAGATCATCTGCAGGAAAAATACCAAAAATTAAAAAACATAAAACCACACACACATTTATTAGTCACTATATACTATTTAACAAAATACAAAGTAAACAGTAAATCAATCATTCAAGGAGAACAACATAACCAGGAATTAACACTTCTTTTGTATTCTTTAAACCACTTTTTATAAGTAGGGTAAGTTTATATATGTGTGTGCATGTATAATACATATATTAGACACACATATATAAACATCAAAACCATGACACTTTGAAGAGTGAAAGGGGATGTTATTAATAATTATTCCAGAACAACAGGGGTAAACTAGGGCTGTCCTACAAACAGGATGCATGGCTATTCTACTTACTGTGTGACTTTATAATGCCTACTCACCACAAAGTTTACTATTTACGGATTGAATTTCTTTCTCTTTCTCATGATGTATCTAATCCTACCAATGCCTGTAGATAATAAGCCAAAAATTCTTTTATATTATTTGAGGTTGAACATCTTTTATCTGAATATCTGCCTCTTTCTCTCTCCAAAGTATCAATTTTGCCCTAACAATTTTCCAGGCAACAAACCAACCCAACTCAGCATGTTGCAAAGCACTGGCTCTCAGAAAAGAATTCGAGCCTGTGGATTCACAACCTAAGGATGGAGTAGGTGGTGAATTCATTAGCTGAAGAATAGGCCTAAAACCAACAACATGCTCTGGAAGAAAAACCAATAGCCAAGTTGTATATTCTACGAAACTGTGCCACATGTCAGGCAAAATCTGCATCACCTCTGCTTAGGACATCACTTTCTCTACAATATAGGAGAGCACTAAATACTACTGTTCCCCAGCAATGCATGATTTCCTATGTAGGCAACAAGGGCTTCCTACCAAGATACAAGAAAGACAATGATTTGAACAGAAAGTCAAAGACCACCACACCCCTTACATGTCAGCAAAAATCATCTACAGTATTATCCCTAAACAAAAGAATGGAATAAGCCTTGTCTATTTTCTTACTCTCTATTCTGTACAATACCTACTCCTAGTACATAAGCATCTTAAAGACACCAAACATGTCAACCATTCCTAAGCACCTAACTGAATACTTTGAATACTGGAAAGTTCAACAAGATTGCAGAATGGATGAATTAATTAAATTACTTCTTTTATTCTGAACAGTAGCTTGCAATCAACAGCAACTCTTAAAATTGAGAAGCATTGATAATTTAATGTCTCTTGTTTTATTGTATATGCTCTACTGTATAAATAGAGACAGAATAGCCTCCTACACAAAGAGCTGTGGTTGTTCCTGTCTCCTATTAGCTTTTCATCAGGATACATGTAAAGATAGTAGTAGTAGTAGCAGCAATAATAGCAGAAAAAATTTAATCATAATAGTGGCTGACATTCTTTGAATGCATATTGTACACCAGCCACTGTTCTAAAAGACTTACATGCATTAACTCATTTAATCCTCACAACATTACCAATTAAGTATAACTGTTATCATCATCAAATATATTTTCCCAAACTTTTATCCATCATTTTGTACCAGCCCTCTGAACACAGCACTAAGCAGCTATTATTCCAGATTAGATTATGAAAGACGCAAGGATATACTTAAGTAGTCACACGCTCAAAGTGACCACAAGACAAGGATACTTGGAAGGCTGAAAGCTAGAAAGACAGATGCCTACAACATCTTGTATTACAAAAATGGAGGGTTTTTGTACAATACGAAGCACATATTAGATGCTCTATAAATGCTAGCTCACTTCCTTTTTTTCCCTTCCTTTGCTCCTTCCTTCCTTCCTGACTTCCTAACAGAACTTACTTTTAGGCATCTCAGATAAATTTTGTGTGTTTATTTGTCTCCCCAACTAAAATGAAAATTAAACAAAGGCAGTGGCCACAACTGTCATGTTGATAGCTCTCTCTCTCTCAAGTTTATAGAGCTGCTGAACACCTAACAGGTACTCAAATACTTAGATGAATGAGTGAATGAAAGAGAGAAGCAAGGGAGATAAGGAGAAAGAGAGGAAAGACTGCTTGATGGGCTTGCTGGCACCTGGATTTAAACAGACACTCATGCCCTCTACACCACACAGCAATGTGACAGTCCCCTAGAGAAACTGAATTACCCAAAGACATGACACTGCCTATAGACTCACACAATCTCAGGACTGAAAAGGCCTTGTGCTTGCACTTCCCTGCCACCTTGTTGCATCCCTTTTGCCCAACTTTCTCCCATGGGACCCCTGTGGTTGGATGAAAGTCAAGCTATAAAAGCAAAGCACAGATAACAAGCTTGCATACAAAGTTAACTTACAATCCTTTTCATGATTATTCCACTGCTCTATGAAACCCCTCTTAACTGAGCACACAGCACCCCAGCATGACTACTAAGAGTTTTCCTCATCTCTTAAGTTTCCACTCTGAACTAGTCCAATCAGCTGACCATCAGCCACTACAAGTGGTGGCAAAATTTAGCACTAAAGGCTGGATTAAGAACACAACTGGGGAGTCAGAAATTCCTTGGCACCACTGTAACTTTCTCCTTAATTTATATTCACATGCCCAGGAGCCTGACCAAAAAGTTAATGCAGATGTAAATTCTCAACCACGCAAGCCCAGTCACAGCTAACGTGTGCACAAACACAAAAATCCACCCCATTTCCTTCTGGCCATCTCCTACCCTTGACCTTGACAGATACTAACCCCTTAGAAAATCTCTAACTAGCAACACCTGCCAATGGTATTTAACTTCTCCAAGAAACATAAACCCAAAGAAGCAAAATATACTTATCCCACACTGCAAATACACTTTTTAAAAGCTTTTTAACCCAAAAAACTCAAAATTTAAAAAGCAAGTAAATAGGGACTACAGTCTAGTTAGATGGAAGCAATTTTCCTATCAAATACTCTTCCAAAGCTCTATGTTAAATTGCTCATTCAACCATTTCTGTCACATCCAGTTAAGTTTGAATCACATTTTTATTTATACTTACCTCTGCCACTCGGTGGGTGGAACTAAACCGAGGTGGAAAGCCAGCCAAAACACAGTGTTGGTGGGTGGCATTGAGATCATCTGCAGGAAAAATACCAAAAATTAAAAAACATAAAACCACACACACATTTATTAGTCACTATATACTATTTAACAAAATACAAAGTAAACAGTAAATCAATCATTCAAGGAGAACAACATAACCAGGAATTAACACTTCTTTTGTATTCTTTAAACCACTTTTTATAAGTAGGGTAAGTTTATATATGTGTGTGCATGTATAATACATATATTAGACACACATATATAAACATCAAAACCATGACACTTTGAAGAGTGAAAGGGGATGTTATTAATAATTATTCCAGAACAACAGGGGTAAACTAGGGCTGTCCTACAAACAGGATGCATGGCTATTCTACTTACTGTGTGACTTTATAATGCCTACTCACCACAAAGTTTACTATTTACGGATTGAATTTCTTTCTCTTTCTCATGATGTATCTAATCCTACCAATGCCTGTAGATAATAAGCCAAAAATTCTTTTATATTATTTGAGGTTGAACATCTTTTATCTGAATATCTGCCTCTTTCTCTCTCCAAAGTATCAATTTTGCCCTAACAATTTTCCAGGCAACAAACCAACCCAACTCAGCATGTTGCAAAGCACTGGCTCTCAGAAAAGAATTCGAGCCTGTGGATTCACAACCTAAGGATGGAGTAGGTGGTGAATTCATTAGCTGAAGAATAGGCCTAAAACCAACAACATGCTCTGGAAGAAAAACCAATAGCCAAGTTGTATATTCTACGAAACTGTGCCACATGTCAGGC